CAAATTAATGCAGAACACCATGAAATTCCAAAAGGTTCACATACTTTTTCCTGCAACTGTAGCTTTCATGTCCTCTGTGAACCAACACTGCATAGTTAAATATGGAAAAGTCTATAACTGTTCAAGCTGCAGGTGAAAATAGCCTGCAGTACTTGAAGCTGTTGAAAGGAAGATAAAGAGAGCTGGAAATAAATTCAACCACAAGTCTCTGAGCCAGACAGAAAAACATTTCTGCCTCATCCTTACCTTCTTTGGATGGCTAATGAAGAGGTTAGATTATTTTACCCATTGATAGTAAAAGCGGGGTAGAGCACACATTTCTGGATTTCCTGTTTTGCATAATGCTTAGGAATATGAACCATAAATTAGATGGTTCTTGTTAAAATCTCATTCTGGCAGTGAATTAGTAAGATATGTCTTAGGCAAACGACTTTTCTCTCTATTTTATCTCCTGGGCAAAATGGACATAGTGCAGTCCTATGTTACAGAACTGTAATAAAAACTGAAATATAGTAAATCTGTTTGAAAATATGAAATGTACAGCATTTACTTTAGCACTGTTACACAATAATTATTTTGCTATCGAATAAGTCAATTTCTGTTAGAAGAGAAGTCACTCTTAGAGGTTTAAAGGTTGCTCTTGGGTTATCTTCTTTTTTGGACAGAAAAAACAACACTTTTTTGTTTGAAGCACAGAGTTTGTTTGAAGCACAGCTCACTGTTTCTTTCTTTCTTCCTTTTCCAAGGCATGAGTTCCAATTATACAAGTCAAAGACTATGATAGGCACATTACAGATATTTAATGTGACTTGACAGGTAATAGTATGAAGGCAATGTATTTATCTAACCACTGTGTAATGGAAAAGGCAATAACACTTCTGGCAGTGGTCTGATGTTATTAACTTTAAGCCCTCTATTAGAACTGTGGATTCAGTTATTTTTAAAGAGCTCTATCACAATGAAATAACAATAGTGAACATTCCAGATGACCATTAAGATTAATATCTATTGTTAAATACATTAACTGAGAAATACCACCAGGCTCAGCAAACCGCAAGGTTTACATAACTACTAAACATATTAAGAAAAAGCACCGTAGACTCCACCTCTCTAATTTATGCTCGTCGGGATGGTTACATTTTGGAAAAAGTATTACTGGCAGTCTGGCCACCACTCCCCTCGCCCAAAAAAACCCCATGTATTGCTAGCCCCACGAGCTGTATAGTTTCCAAAGGGGCAGTTCATTTAGTCTGTTGCCCTGTTACTTGAGTCCAAAAAGATCATGCCAATCTTTTCCAAGTGAGTGACCTGCAATGCTTTTGACCGTAGTTTCCAAAATTGCAACCGACCTCCCCCAACTTGCTTACAATCCATCGTCTCTGTAGTACACTAGGCTGGAGAAGATAAATGTATTAAATTGCCACAAGACGCGTTAATTTTAAAGGTGAAATCCGATAAGTAACTCCCAGTGCGTTGAAACAGAAAACCGGACAGAACCTCGACACAGGATTTTATTTTACTTTTTTTAATTTTTACACCCCCACATCACCTCCTCGCTTCACAGAACCGCCAGAAATGACGATCAGCGCTCGTCACTGCGGCCCATGCACGTGGCCTAATGTTTCCGGGTCACGTGGCGGAAATCGCCACAGTTGGGTGCGGTGGGGTGCTGGGGAGGTTGGGCCGGCTCCGTCCTCCCAAGATGGCTTCGCTCCTTCAGTCGGAGCGCGTCTCCTACCTGGTGCGCGGCGAAAAGGAGATCCGCATGCCGCTCTCGCAGCTGTATTTCTGCCGCTACTGCAGCGAGCTCCGCTCCCTCGAGTGTGTTTCGCACGAGGTAAGCTGGGCCGTATTGTCCAGGCGGGGGGAAGCTGATCGCACGCCAGCGGTGTGGATTGGTTCATTCTGCTGCCACTCGTAGTCCCGCTCCATCCAATTGGCTAGGAGAGATGTGTGCCGACGTTTCCCGTGGCTCTGCTTTGGAGCTGGAGACTGGAACCTTGAGTGGGGCGCGTGTCCCTCTGTCGGTGTCATTGTGTGCTTCCCTGGCTGGGGTGGAAGGGGGTAATTCTGGGGTAGGGAAGAGAGGAAGAGATTTGCAGGAAGGGCGGGGGAATCTTTTAGCATATGTATTTGAAATAACATTTCTTCCCTTTCTTCGACTTTTCCTGTATAAATTGCCATCACCTGTACGTAAACGGTATCCAGACGTAATCATATGCTATGCCTCCCAGTTGGTTACTGTTGCATCCCGAGACACACCCTTATTCTCCCCCTCCTAATGTTTACACTGCCTTCCTCAGTCCAGTTGGACTCTAGGTGTAATGTTGTAATCAGGTACTGTTACCCATCTAACTACATGAAACTGGTATTTGCAAAACACAATGAGCAGTTATGATTGGAATACAGACTTGATCCCTATTGTGGTGCTTGTAAGTTGCAACATTCTTGTGGACATGTTTCATGATACGCCATAGACACAATGCCCACCTGATTTAAATTTTAGTTTTTTTGTTTTTTTTTTTAATGGGATACTGAGGTGCTGTAAAGTGCAGCAACATCCAGCATAAACATTACTCCTAAGAATGCTTCTGGTCCCCAAATATATTCTGGAGGCATCCTTAAAAAATAAAAGTGAGGACTGCACTTCATTGTTCTGTTTTGAAGTGTGTCCACATGTCCAGAAAAAGATAGGAATAAACAGATAGGATAGAAAGCATCCTGAAAGGCTAAAAAGGTGTGCCAAGGAACAAACTCACCCATTTGTCTCTGGTAAATTGATGTCAGTTAGCATTCACAGTGGCCATTGTTTTGGATGAATTCTGACATTTTCTCAGAATTCCAGATGTGCTGTCTAGTTTGCAAAGGTTGGGGACACCTGGAATACAGTACTGTATTTTGTTATACTGAAAATCAATTTATTAAGCAATCATTCTTTAAGCTTGCCATTTATTTTCATCCTTTGTGCTGCAGAGAAGTGAGAGCACTGATAAAAAAATATGCAACTTTAGTTCAGATTTGAAAGTATTTCCCAAATGTATGAATCAGTTTAAATAAGTTTTCCATTGGTTGAACTCAAGATAGTAAAGTAGCTCTACTGCTCTGAAAATTCTAGAAGTATCCAAAGATGAGACCCTGCTTCCTGCTCCTAATTTTGACATTGTTTGTGTTGCAGTGCCAAGATTGTAAATCTCTGTTTCAGACTCTTTTGTTCTGCATGAACAGGAATGAAGATAATTTGCATTTTTATCTTGCTTACTCTGTTACTGTGGATATAGTATGTCTTTGACTGAGAACCAGTCTCCATTTTTAAACAGCCTATAAGCACCAACATTAAACAAGAAGTATCTACTAGTCAACATGATTAAATGGTCTTAATTTGAAGAATTCGTTTTTTAATTATTTATTTTCCAGTTGTTCAGTTCTAAAAAAAAGCTGAAGAGTCATTAAAGAAGGTGATAAGCTATTGAAAATCAGTTGGATAGGGAAATAAATTTTAAGCATTGGTTCATGATAGGACAAATTCTTTATATGTAACAATTCTAAATTTGGTCTTTGGCATCTCCAGTTCAAAATATTAATAGTTGAGAATGAAAAAAACCTCTGCTAGAAATTTAGAGAATCGCTGCTGGTTCTAAGTTTGTTTTTAATCCCAGTTGTAATGCCAGTTTTAACTGTCATGAATAATCCTGGGAACTGTAGTTTAATGAGGATGTTGACTATTTTTCTGGTAGAGATCTAAATCTCTCAGTAGTAATATCTAGGATAGAAAGAAATTCTGCACAGTTTTGGAGAGCAATCTTTACTTTGGTGGTCTTCACTGTCAGCATCTCTGAATCATCTTATGCCTCATGAGCATGGTATTTGATGTTACATTTTAATACATGTATTTCATTTTAAAATGAGATACATTTTCTCCATAAACATCCAAGTGTGTGCTGGGAAACCAGTTAGGGGATGCGGGGGTGTTACAAAGATTTTCTCTCATTAGAACTGTCCTCTTAAATTGAAGCCCCTATCTGATCTTGGAGAGCAAAATCTGAAATATCTGTGAGTAAACAATAATGACATTGGGATTTTCTGGTTATAGATCAGTCTTTTGGGCATTGTCCTGTACCAGCTCCTAAAAATGCAGATGTCTTTTTTGTTAAATATAATATCAGAGAAGGAGCAGCATTAGTTGAAGTACAGTGGTGAAGAATGATGACTTTTTAAAATTATTCTGTAGGTGGATTCTCACTATTGTCCCAGCTGCTTGGAGAATATGCCTTCAGCTGAAGCCAAGCTGAAAAAAAATAGGTAAGGCTACAATCTCCCCTCTTCCTTTTCCTATAATTTTACCTTTGTGTTTTGCATAATCTCTTTATACTTGACTACCTACCTATTAATTTGGATCCCACTTTGAATTTTACAGTACAGAATCTTACATATTGGTTGTTATAAAATCTGAAATAATATATATGACAGGATTTCTGTCTTTTTATAAAGGGAAAGCTAACATGAATTTGTTTCCTGTTGGCTGCCTCAGTGAATCTTTCCGAGCAAAATATACTATTTTTAAACTTATTGTTAGGAGCAATTTCTGAGTTATATGTATATGCATAAATCAAGCACCTTGATTTATATTTATATTTATATAAAGGTTTATATAACCTCCATATACAGCTTTTAATTTAAAGAAATCAACTTGGTTTACACGACAGTGATCACTGTCACCCTAAGAAAGCAAATACAATCAAATCGATTCAATTAAAAAGCTAATGCTGGTGTCTTCTTGCTTAGGTGCGCTAATTGTTTTGATTGCCCTTGCTGTATGCACACCCTTTCTACCCGAGCAACAAGCGTTCCTGCTCCATTGCCTGATGATCCAGCCAAGACTACAATGAAAAAAGCTTATTATCTGGCCTGCGGATTTTGCCGCTGGACATCCAGGGATGTTGGCATGGCAGATAAATCAGTTGGTGAGTGTCATATCTAGAGCAAATGGGACAAGGATGCCTTAAAAAAACGCTACGTTATGCACGGTTATCATTCAAAAGGGGAACAATGTCATATTATGCTAAAAATTGGTAGTGCAAGTAGAAAGGATGTGCAAAATTTGAGTGGAAGCAAATTCAGTGACTAACAGAGTCTGTTCCTTTGCCATTAAAAGAAATGGCTTCTATAGAAAGGTGCTATGTCACTTCAGGATCTTTTTACTGGTAAAGAGGGACCCCAGATCTGTTATTGAATCGGGCTCCTATTTAAGTTATTTAAACATCTTGCTGGATTAGATAGAAAGCTTATCTAGTCCAGTTTTCGCAGCAGTTGGACAAAATCTTTTAGGAAGTTGGCAAACACATGCTTCCCTGCAATGGGCATTCAGAGGTAACACTATCTAGCATGACTAATTGCTTTAATAGCCTGATTCGTCATTAATTTTTTAAATTCCTTTTTCAAGACATTACATTTGAGGAAGTCAAGTCCATGGTTAAACTGCGTGCTTTTTTTGTCCTAAATTTCCCACCATTCATCTTTAGCAGATGAACCAGGCTCTAGCATTACGTTCTGTTTTGTCCATACTTTTCACATCATGCATATGAATCTCTTCAATGCCTTTTCTTTTGAATGAAATAATCCTGAATGTTGTACCTTTCTTTATAAGAGAATTGCTTCATTCCATAATAATTGTGCAAAAGCAAGCTGAGGAATAGTAGGAACTAAACAAAAACTAAACAAAACAAAACAAAAAACTAAAGAGAAGCAATGGAGGTGGTCTGAATCATCTCAGCAATACAGTGTCTTATGCTGGCCATCTCCAGTGGTTCCAAAATTAGCATTTATGTCCTAGATATTCCTCATAATGTAAGAGATCTGGGAATGGGAACTCTTATTAAGGGCAAGGAAGTTGGAGGAAAAAGGTTCTGTCTGCCATCCACTTTCCTTTTAGTGCTGGGTTGGTCTCCACTATGTGGAGAGGATCTCACCAAGTCAGCAGAACCCCCCAGTTATCTATCTTCTGAATCTATATGCATGCCTCTTCTCTGCCCCCCCCCCCCCCGGGTATATTTTGAAGATACATTACAAGAGAGTGGGATGTTTTGTAATGTTTCATTCTGTAACACTGCATTGCTGTTATGTACTCTGTGAAATACTTTTTTTTCACCTGCTGATTTTCCTTATGGATGTCTTCTTCACTGTGTGTTATTTTTTCATACTAATTATAACAATGACTGTCAAGCAACAGGGAAATTTGCAAGGGAAAAATGGCAGGTACAGAATTGGTTTTTATCATCTGTCTTTGGTTTGCTGATCTGCCACTAATACGTTAATGTTTCTATGTTCATGTTAACCTACAGTCAGCCACTAGATTAGAAACACAGGCTGTTTTCTATCTCACATTATACCATGGTGAAGCACACAATGTTATGCCATCCTGATAATAAATAACAAATGTACAGTATTAGCCCAGTGATGGGCTTAGCGGATAAGAGAAGAGAAGCAGACAGTTACTCTCTATATAGTTTATTTTTGGCTACAGCATGTGTTTCATGATTCCCTTCTCTTTAATTGTTGATGTTGTTTGTTGTTATATTGCAGCCAGTGGAGGTTGGCAGGAACCTGAAAATCCTTATACACAAAAGGTAACCAAAAGAGACATTTCTAGTAGTTATTTAAGTCTGAGAGAACAAGCCTCATGTGGCTGAGAGTATTATTCACGATCTTCCCCCAACTGATCTAGCAGTGTAATATAAATATTGGCCTAGATATAAGTGTATTGAGGAAAAAGTATAAAGTCCCTGTATTTTCCCATAGCAGCCCTTCTTTGAGACACTGCCCTCCCACACTGATCATATTAGCTCTGGAAGTACAGCATGGACCAGCTATGATCTGTACAGGGATGGTCACAGTTTCCCTGTATCATTCCCAGAAGAAGGAGGTTGCCTCTTTCTCAGGTCAGTTTTTCTTCCCAGATCCACTGTCTTCCCACATACAAGTAGCATTGCTTCCAGTCACTCTCTTATGTGCGTAATAGGTTTTGTAAAGGCAAAGCTTAGATCATTTCTGGATTTCTCTGGTATCAACCTGATTTGACCTTTGAGTACTGAATGTCACTTAAGTAAAAGACCCACATAAGGGAAAGACTTGGATAATTCAAGGTTCTCTTTCAATTTATCTTTTCTGGTACAGTTATTAGGATGACCTTGGCATAAACAGACTCACTAGGCCAGGTGAGAAAGCTGGGTAGATAGAATGCTGCTCCAAATCAGCATAGTTCCTGTTCAGGCATGGACATATCACTAGTTAGTCCAAGGATGGAGACACAACTGGTCTGTGTATCTTAGTCTATATAAATATAGTGTGTGTGTCTGTGTGCAGGCACATGCATATCCTATCATTTCTCTCAATAAAATACGATGCAGTTTAAAAAGAAGAAAAATGTAAACTACCATTTGCCAGAGTGCAAAATATATTTTCAAGTATGTATCTTGAGAATTTTCTTAAAAATTGCAATTTTCACAGGGATAGTTTAACATTGCAGGTTTATTTAGGAATAAGTTAACATACTAGGAAATATGAAAATGAAATAAATCAGGAATGTATTGATTTGTCCCATTTCTCTTTGTTTAAGCCTCTACAAAAGAACAATAATGTTTATTCACATGGCTAAATGTGGTGGTATAGAATAATGGCACAAATTAAACGTAAAACATTCTTTAAAGAAAATAAATAAGAGGAGAAACAGTTGCTAGGAAGAGAGAGAGTAAATCTTTCCTTAAATTCCACTGTGTGAAGTTTTGTAAATGCAATGAAAGGTTTTACAATATTTTAAATAAATGAATATGAATAAAATATTAATAAAATAGAAAAAAATCTTGTAAAGAATTTGCCTTCTAATGAATTGCTTAAAATGTTGTTTATTTTTATATAGATTAATAAACTGGTAGAATATTATCAGCAGTTGGCTCAGAAGGAGAAGATGGAAAGAGATCGTAAAAAATTAGTTCGACGGCGACCATACATGCCACTGGCTTTTTCGGTGAGCTAGGAAAACAGCACAGAAATTCTGGAGGTCACACAGTGAGAATCAGATTGTGGCATTTTAAAGTGCAGTGACATAATTGTTGTTCTAGATGACATTTCTAAAAATAAAGCAAGAAAATTTAAAAATGAATAATTGGAGCTCATTCTAAGTTCTCATAGCTTTATAATCTATCACAAATAAATTCCAAATACCCTAGTATAGAAGAGGTTCAAAAGGCTTTGTGTTTTATTAAGCGGTATTGTCTATTTGAAATAAATGTAGGTACTCCTACTCTGAAATCCTAAAGTAACTTGGCTTGTATTTTACAGTGAAGGTTCAGATTTGGAAATGGGCCCCAATGCCTTCAATTTTGTAATGCTGGATTATCATTATTCTTCATATATTGATCCAGCTCAGAGTTAGCATAATGTCTGTGAGACATGTTTACACTTAAATATCTATTTCATTTTAATTTTCAGCTACGCGTTCAATGTCAAACCGAAAAGCTTATTTTTTTGGCTAAATACTTTTGCGTATGCTTGCTGCCTCTTGGATAACTGTATAACCTGCTTGCTTTGTGCATTGCTTTTGTCTTTATTGGTGCACTTTTCTTATCTCCGTTGCTACCTGCTGCTAATTTGGGGGCTCTCCACAGCAACATACTATACATGTAGTGGTAAGTTCCTTTAGCTCCTGATAGTGTTACAGCCTTTGAAATCGCTGGATTCAGCTAGTAAAATTATCTTTACTGCATTTGGGTGACTAATCTTTGATGTGTTCATGACAGGAGAGTTGTCATTCAGTCTGAATGTATGAATACTTATTTGAGTTTAGTAATCGTATTACTCAATGAATTCCTTAGTACTTTTTTTTTTTTTTTAACATAAAACCAAAATTGTTTAGTGTAAGCCCCTATAAATATACGCTGTGCTCACAGTACTTTGATGAACTTGAGCACTGTTAAGAACAATTGGTAGGATTTGCCTGGGCAAGTATGTTTTGGGCTTCCACTTTATGTGATTCCTGTTCACATTATGGTCCTCTTGAACTATAGACTGCATATAATACATTATTCCCTGTCCACAGCCTTGCCACTCTTTTAAATATTTGTTTTTCAGTTTCAGTCTTTTCAAACAGCAATCCTGTATAGAAACTTTCTCTAATGTAGGTGTTGTTTGATATGCTATATAGATAAATGACATACCTTTTCCTTCCCTGTAAACTAAAACAATAAGCCACCCACCATCACTTTACAAAATAATAGGTGAGCTAGAGAAGCAAAGTAGTATCCCAAAGTATTTAGTAATCTTATCTATAGAATAGGGCCAAACCTTCTGTCCCTACTTTGAAGATAATACGGACCCAACTTTTAGGAACTGCAGTGAGATAATAAGTGAAATAATTCAAAGCACTCGGCTCAATAACATTGCCATGTAAACTGTTGCTTTTAACACTGGATCCAGTGAACTATAGTAATTACCATCCTTCTCTAAGAGGTTGCATGACTTCTTGTATATGGAAAAATATAGTTTCATTTTTCTAGTGCACTGGTCTGGCACTAGTTGTAAATGAACTGTTCCAGTTATTTTCTGCAAGCAGAACACATTTAAATCTAGCCTAGCCTGAAAGTTGACAACTTTCAGTTTTGATATCTGCTATCGCAGCTTAGAATGTCAACAATTTGTTAGCAAGTACCTCAGCTGACTAGTTAACTCAAGTATGATATAATGGTATGACTTCATACCATTATAGTCATTATGTTTTTTCATATCTGTTCTTCATGTCTATTGGAGTAAAGGGTATTTGTCCACAAAAATACTAAATCCTAAAATTTAAACTATTCATGTTCACTTAATCATCAAGTAAAATATAAATTTAAGCACTAAGTGAAAATACTTTAGATAGAATAAATGGTGATTGAAAGGCATGTTGCTTTTCCTTTTTAGCTTTTGTATATTTGCTTTTTATTCATCAAACTACCAAAAATTTCTCTGAGCACAGAAAACTTCCAGGTTTGCTTTTCTTGTAATTGATCCATCCTGTTTTTCAAGCTGCCAAAAAAGCCAAGAGGGTATGTTTTCATTTACAAACTCAATTCTTGTTGCATATTTCTTTTGTAGGACAAATATGGTCTTGGAACAAGACTCCAGCGTCAGAGGCCTGGGGCCCCCATCAGCGCCCTTACCGGACTTTCGTGAGTACTAGTCCTTTCATATTAGTGATAAAGTTACATCGCTTAATCCCAATCATATAAAATGGAAATAGCCTCACAATCAAGGATTCCTCACAATCAAGCATAATTCTAGGTCTTCCTTCTTCTGCTGATCATTTAAATGCAGTGTTTTTAATACCAGTGTGTGGACATCTAAGCTGGTACCTGCAATCTTGCCTAAAGCCTCATTCTATAAACAACACAGCTCATGTTCCTAACTTGAGAATTTGCTATTATCTCTATTAATTCAGTGATAAAATATAAAGCTTAAATTATGTTGAGTGCTGCAGTTTTGTTCTACTATTCCAAGTACTGCAAGACGATCTGAATATAAGTAAAGAATTGGTCTCTAGCAACTCTATACTGCTTCATGTGAATCAGTAATTTAGCACTGCTCAAGTGTTTATGGTCTGGTTTCTTTCAAATATAATTGCTGGCTACCAAAGCAGTCTGTCTGTTCTCTTTGCCTTAGGCTGAAGGAAGGAGAGGACCACAAGGAAATAAAAATTGAACCAGCTCAGGCTGTGGAAGAAGTAGAACCTTTACCTGAGGATTATTACACAAGGCCAATCAATCTAACAGAAGGTTAGCCTGTCTTTGGCACATTTCTGTCCAAGATGATGAATTCAAATGATGCTTGCTCGTTATTTAAAAACATTAACTGAGATTGTGAATTTTCTGAACTTCCTGTGCTGTGAACAGTGACAACCTTAAAGCAGCGCCTCCTGCAGCCAGACTTTCAGCCCATCTGTGCTTCTCAACTTTATCCACGTCATAAGCACCTTCTGATCAAACGCTCATTGCGATGCAGGGTATGTAATCACTATGGAAAATTTTATTACTACCAGACTCTCACATTTAGCAGAATCAGAGATTATATGCAAATTCCAGAATTCTCTGTCCTGGAATTGTTACATTTCTCTTCCACATAACTCTTCCAGCTTTGGGCCTTGGCTGATTTTGAATCTAATTGGTAGGTAACATGGGAATGCCTGTTTCAAGAATTCTTAGATTAGAATGAATTTGTATTACTTGAACTGGGGAAGTATTGCTTCTCTCTGACTATACACTGGGCCAGTGTGCTTTATAAGCATAAGCTAATGTTTCACAGTGATTAAACCCAATTGTAAATTTACGCTGCTGAATGTGATACCTGCATAGCTAAGTCTCTCATGATACGAAGTCCATCTTGCTTTGCATTGTGATGTCATTGAGGATGCAAGTTTCCCCATTTCACTTCAGTGGCTGCCGGTCATGGTGGTAAGGAGTAATGCAGAATACCGTGACAATCCCAGGCAATGCATGCTAAACGTTAAAAAGGGTGAGATCGGTGCTACCTGCTGTATTTTCAGCTGCAAATACATTTACCATTGAGTTGAATTAGCCTTTGGCTCTTATTTGAGAACTAATTGAGAACTAATGACCTAAGGAAAGACAAATAATAGAAAAGACTAAGCTCCAAAGATGTAAAGAATCTTATCCTGAAAGATAGATTTAGGACAACAAAAAGTTTTTCTTATACTCTGTAATTATTTCTGGAATTCATTGCCACAGGATATGGTTTTAAATGATATGGATAAATTTATGATGCAGAAGGCCGTCTGTAGACATTATGCATGGTGGTTATATCAGTATCAGTTCCTGGAAAGAGATACATTGTTTCCATTTCCCCCTCCTCATCTTCTCAGAGGCTTGTGGAAAGGAAACAACACCCCAACCTAAATAGACCTTGTCTGATAGAGCAGGTTCTTTTTAGGAAACAGTTATCTTTTCGCATGCCAGTGTCTGAATTTAAACTTTCAGCATTTCTTACAAGCTACTTCCAGTGTTAAGGAAATACTTTATATTCATATGCACAAATGCACTTCTGTTTTGTTTTTTTTCTCTTCCTGCTCATGCCCCTTACTTCACACCTATTCTGGAGAATACTCAGTTTTCTGCAGCAGATTTGGGATACACTCAAGGACTTCAGATCCTTCCTTAGGAGGAATGCATCCCAACAGCAATTTCCATTCTACTGTCAACAGCCATTCTTGGATACAGTCCAATACTTACATTCTGTTTAGTGAATCAAATAAAATAAAAGTGATTCTGCAGTGGCATTTATAATTCTTGAGCATAGGTTCACAAACTTCTTATTCTCATTTTTTCTTTCTTTTGTAGAAATGTGAACACAATTTGAGTAAACCAGAGTTCAATCCTACATCCATCAAATTCAAAATTCAGTTGGTTGCTGTGTAAGTATTTTGAAAATAGTGACAGCAAGAAATTAAAAGACTTGGAGCAAGTTCTCTTGGTTGTGATAAACCTATCATCTGCTCTATACCATTTCTTCTTGCAAATAAAGGTTCACACAATCCAAGTTCCAGCATACAGAAAACTGCCGTGTTAGTAGCAGATCTTCTAGGTTAGCCTTTTCTTATGAATATAGATATAATAAATGCGTGAAGATTCTTAAATTGTAGTTTTATTAAGCAATCCAGTGCAGTCAGCTAAACATAATATTAAGTATTATGTGTTTCTTTGAGAAATGGCTGAAACACCCATTTAATTAGTAACCAAGCATGCATGCTTGCTTCTGAAAGTTCAGTTGGATTCTGCTGTAGCAGATTGAAACTTAGTATTATTCACTGAAAATAGAACTGGCAGGAAAGATTTATTCTGCTTCTTCTAGCCAGGACCTAAGATGATCTTAATCCCATGGAGGAAACTTCAGTCTTTAGCCCTAATTTCTTGTGGCTTTCGTTTCAGCTCTGTTGTACGAGCTGAGAAAAAAGAAAAATAAATGGGATTTGGAAAAACAGGAAGCAAAGAGTCTGGTGCTGGCACAATGAAATGTGCTGGGTGTTTTTGGCAAGCACCACTGATCTGTGCTGAAAAGAGACCACAGCTGAGGATCAGTGACTGGGGGAAGGACATTGACCATTCAGAGATTGGACTGAATTGGGGAGAATTGGCCTCCAAAGGCAGTGGAACATAACAGAGGAGGTGAGCAGTAATGTTAGTACTGAACTCCTCTACGGTACAGCCAAATAAAGTATCTTCCCTCCCATTGGACTAGGCACCAAGTAATACCCACTGTAAAAAGCAGATGATGTATATGATCTAAAGAAAAAAAAGAATATTGAGCAACACCAACAGTGGTGACCCCTCAGTGACTCTCTGATTGCCAGGAGCATCGTAAAAGCCAGAAAAGGTGGTATAATGGCACTCAAGCCCTTCAGGCTGTGCCAGAAACAATGTGAGTTGTATCTCTTTTCCCTAACAGTAGAATAGTGGCTGGAGAATCAAGGATCACTGTATATGGTGATAAGCCGGGGTATGGGGAGTGGGTTGACCCCGATAGACAGGACAGACACGGGTTAGCTTAGCAAGATTGATCATGGCAGCTCAGGATCCAGAGGAGAGATGGGCCCCTGTTGTGTTGGGTCATCCCACACAGACCATGAGAGCTCTAGCCAGCATGCACCTCCCACCCCCTGAGCAAGGCAGTCTTCAGTTCTCAGTTGTACCCAGTACTGAAACAGTTGTTGGTAACCCAAAAATTTTTTCATGCTCATATGGAAAAGGAAAAAAGAGAATGACATAGGAAGGAGCCACCCTGGCAGCGGATGAGAGGTGGAGAAAGCAGCTGAAAGAACAAGGAGGGAGCTGATTACACTTTGGGATCAGTGTGTGAAGTGTGTGAAATGATGAGAAATCCCCATATCCCACAAGGAGAGAGGCACATATCATTTTAATGCTTATTTCTCATAGGGTTCAGATCATGTTGATTTCACACAATTTGCACTTCCCATCAGAAACTGTTTAATGCTAAATTATTTCCCTAACTTATTAAATAAGTTAAATATTTATACAATACATTTAATATTATTTAATATTAATTAATTAAATGCTTAACTTAGAGTTTGGCATTAGCAACTCTAAACTCAATCCTCCAGGGTATTTCAAGATTCTGTCAAGGTGTTTTCTTTGTATTCCACACAGACATCAAAATATCCTTTCTGGATTTTTTTACAGATAATCAAGGAGTGGTGGTGGAGCAAGTCAAATCAAGGATGCCCACCCTCCATATAACACCTTCCACTCAGGAAGAGCATGGAATTACTAACCTGTCTAGCTTCAGTCAACCAGTAACATCCCTGATCTCTAAACTGGAGTTCAGAGCCAAAGAGGAGAGGCACTCCTAAACCCAGCATAGTGTTGAACAAATTAGTGCTGAAGTAGACCTATAGCAATTGGGATTCCCAGCACTTTGAATCAGGGCTGCAACTGTTTCTTTCATTATTGTCTAAGCTTGAGGAATACAGGCAGTTCCCAGAAGTCCAGTCACATAGGTCTATGGAGGATGCTTTAAGTTCTACTCTGACACTCCCCAATTACATTGCTCTTTCCTGTTTGTTCCATCTTCGATGACTGGATTTACCATGAAGGAACTTTCTGGTCATTGATGGAACCAACAGTCCCACTATACAAGAGAGGGAAAGATACAGAGGTTTAAGGGAGTGGTGATCAATTTGTTAAGTACTTTATTGTCCTGTAAACTATTAAACATTGTTCTTCCATTTCCTATGTGCTCTTGCCAATAGCATTTTTTGTTGTTATTACAGTGATTTACTGAATAAAGAAATTAAACAACAATACCCTCAGCTGAAATCATTGTAGAAGAGCCATGTTAAATCTATGGGAGTGAAAAATCAGAAGGGAGAGGAAGATGGTTATATTTTTGGGAGGGGGACCCTTTAATAGTACAATTGAGTGAGAGACAGTTGAACTCACATCAAAAGGTTTCAAGGAACACAATCCATCTAATATGTAACCTGCACAACCTGTTTCCCCCTCCCATCCTAATTTAAATCCTGTATCAGTTTAGTAGCTTACAAAGTTTACACCTTTTCATAAAATGTGTTAGTCTGAAAAGGTGCTACCAGACTCCTGATTTTCCACTGAAATCAGTGCATGCTACTGAAGGAAGGATATTTCCTCCATGGGACAGGAAAAGGTCTTCTAGTCCTGCCTCCTAGTTGAAAGAAGTAAGGTTAACTCTGTCCTGTCAGGTCCATCCTTCTGTGAGTAGAAAGGTACTTCATGGTAACTCCAATTACCATTTTATATGAAAAACAAATTGGAAGTTATAAATCACAATATAATCTTGAAAAAAAATCATGTTTCCCAGTCATATACTTCTGTCAGTTTTTAAAAATGTTTCAGTGTTGAGAATAATTTGAAAACTGCATAACTGAAAAATGAGTTAGGTATCCAAAATTAAATAGAGAGCATAGCAAAAAAGCTAGAAACAATGTCATTCATAAATTTGCTGTTTGTGTTTTTCATTTGTATTTATAGCAATTACATCCCAGAAGTGAGAATCATGTCTATTCCTAATCTGCGCTATATGAAGGTTAGTAATTGCTCACTTTAACCCTCTTGAAAGTTTTGAAGGCTGCACGTGAGTGGCTGTTAAATCTTTGTTTTGTTTTGTTTAAAATGTGACAGAGGCCTGGAAAGCTAGTGTGTTATTTTTAATAACATTGGTTCAGTGAAGACATGACTCCAGTTCATGGTTTGTGCAATCAGTTTTTAACTTGGATTCAAAGCTTATATGGATGAAACAGTTGAAAAAGATGCCCATAAGTAATTACATGGCAACATAGAGATTTAATTTGTTATAAGAATTGTAAATCTTGAAGCATTCCCCCTTTTCTTTCATACAGTATAGGAAATGATAACTATGGCGGCAAGGCTGAACTGTTAAGGTAAAAGCTTAGAGGTCTCAAACTTCTCTCCCAGAAGCCCTCTAAGTTTATAAGCCATGGCCCACTTTCTGAACATCAGTGCAGTGCTTGCTAATTACTGTTGTTACCATGTGATTTCTTGGAAATGCCTTTGCCTGATGTCTTCTCACTAACCTTGCAGGCTCTTTGTCTTCTGGCAAATAGCAGGAAAAAAGATTGGGAGAAAAAGAAATAAATGTTACAGTGCCACTTTTTGGCCTATGAGGCATTGAGGTGTATAATTATGGAAAGCACCACCCTTCTTTTTTTGGGAAGCTAGATCATGATCACAAGTTATAATTTAAAAAGGAAATCACTTTATTAAAACTAAGAAAATGTAAAACTTCCTTTAAAAGTTTGGGTGGTTACACGCAAAACATTCAGTGGCCAAGGAGATTAAAATATACAGTGCTGCTATAATCACAAACAATGCCTTATAGGAATCTCCCACTGGAAAATAAAAAGTCAATATACAAGTTTCTTGAAAGAAACTACTAATGTAAAAACAACTTTGATGGAAAGAGGTGCCAATTTCTAACTACAGGACTGAGCTTGTATAGAGACAATAACCAGAGATAGGAAGTTGAAAACACAGAGAGCAAATAAATAAATAGAATAACTCTTAGTGCAGTGCTAACTAGGCATATACCTCTGGTTCTTCGGATAATCATTCCTTGACTCAGATTCCTTCTTTTACCTATCCTTGTTGGAACTTGCAAGTTTAAATTTGAGGTTGGAAGAAAATCTCGGTTTTCCCCAGCTCAAGCCCACAATTTCTTGCTCCTTTCTCCCAGAGCTCCCCTTCTAGTTGTTTAAAAAAAAAAAAGGGTTGTCTCTACCAAAGGGAAGGGGTTTGTTGGAGAGGGGATTACTTTTGCTGTATGCTCCCAGCCATGCCTCAGGAAGCATCTTCCCTCAGGAAAAGTCCTGGTTGAGATGTGTAATGGCTGTCTGGGGTAATAAGCTGAGTGAGGGCTATAACAGTGAATTTCCTAAAATTTTGTTATGATTTATGGTGGCTACTTGCTTGTGCCTGAGCAAATATGCAAATATGATGGGTCAATTAAAAATTGAAAAATTGCTTTAAAATAAACTTCTGAATATCTAAATGAAAATTATTTTGAGCAGCTTGTCCTCTTTCATTTTCTGTTGTCACAGCATTCCTATTTCTGTGATGTAGAGACTTACTTGAAGCCTAGCAAAGAGTCCCTGTTGTCCTTAATTAATTGAGATACATAGTAAACAATAGTTGGTAGAATCTGTGGCTTGCACACCTATTTCAGATTTTCCTGTGTGATTTTGGTTTGGTTGGCTGTAAACCAACCCATAATTTTCCTTAATTGCAATATGTTTGCTATATAGTTACGACCCTTTAGAAAAGTGAATGAAAGAATGGTTTGTTACTGTTTAGAAGGTTAGCACTTCTTAAAAAGGCATCAAACAGACAAAAATGAATGTTCTCAAGCAATATAAAATCATGGGGAAATATCCTTCACGAGAGTTACTTTGCTTCTTATGTCCTTCTGTCCTTCATAGGAAAGTCAGGTTCTTCTAACCCTAACCAATCCAGTGGAAAACCTTACCCATGTGACACTAAAAGAATGTGAGGAAAATGATCCTGATGATATTAATAGTACTGCAAAGGTACTGTAGCTTCTTATCATCTTACAAGAACATATGCTAATGTATATACTCTGATACTGTGCTAAAAATATATGAATTGTGAATACCTGCATAATCTTTTTTTCAGGTTCAAAATGGTTTTATGCCTTAACACAGCAATGTGATTGTTATTTAAAAAAAAGGAGAGGGGGCTTTTAATAACCATGATTAGCCTGGGCATTATATCTTGTGAGAAAAATGTCACTGCTTTTGAAGCTATCATATGGAAAGCTTCCATGACAGTACTGTATTTCATTAACAGTTACTGTTGTTTTTAATTGTTCTTAATACCCCAGTTATTCATATTTGTTATAGTATGCCTTTTTTCTATATCTCTTTTCAGGTGATTGTTCCTTCCAAGGAGCTAATCTTGGCTGGCAAAGATGCAGCAGCAGAATATGATGAATTGGCAGAACCTCAAGATTTCCAGGATGACCCTGAGTAAGTTTGTCCGTCTGTTTTCATAGATAAAGGCTTGCATCTACCAACTGTTGAAAACTGGCCAATGCTATCCTGACTTTCTTCAGGTGGAGATTAGAAAATATTGTTTCTCCCTAGTAGCAGTAAATTCTAAATAGACCAGAGAATATATTTCACAAAATCCCAGTGGTATTTTCTACACCCATCTGATACATATTTGGACATGTGCAGCAGAAAGGGTAAACCTAGCATGCCAGTGATTTTAGTTCTGGGAAACATCAGCATCAGATGCAGCCTTCGCTTAACATTAGTTTGGATACCTTCTGAAAAGAATGAAATAAATTTATGGAAGATAGATCTATCGCTGGCTATTGGCAGTGCAGCTGAAAAACCCTCTAGATTTAAACACAGAGTGCCGTTGGGTACTACTTGCCAGGGAGGTAGTATTTTGACAGAAGTTGCTAGGGAGCAAGCACTAAGGCTAAAGCCCTTTTTGTGAGCATCCCAAAGGCATTTGGTTGGCTACTGTTAAAAGCAGGGTGATTAGGTCAATCTTTTGTCTAATCCAGGCACAAAATTATTTTGTAGCAGATTTGTTGAGTAACGTAACTGTCTAATCCCCCCCCCCGCCCCCGGTTTACTTACAATAGCTCTCCTGAGCAATTATTAGTTTAATTCTCTCTAAAATGGCAGTTGAAGTGAAATAGAACTAGTCATTTGAGGGTTAGAGTTATGGAAAAATCTTGCATTTTTATCTTTGGGAATAAGATACCATGGTGCAATAACTGCATTAATATATTTATTTGTATAAGTGTCTTAACTTCAAAAATATGCATTGTATAAGTGTCTTAACTTCAAAAATATGCTTTTGAAGTTTGCAATTCTGTACTAAGTACCCACCCCAAAATGCTAATATTTGACCCATTGAAACTAAAAGAGAAATAAACTAATTGAATTTCCTTTATGCAAACTGTGAATTTTAAAATTAGTGTTATAATATAAAAGACTGTCAAATAATTGAAAATCAAGTACTGTTTTTAAATTACTGGTAATTTCTTTAATTATCTGCAACTAAAAGTTTGGGTCCCCCCCCCCCCCCCCC